AAAATAAATAAAATCTTAAAAAAAAAAAAAAGAGTATGTATGTATGTATTCCCCGGTTGTTGAGAACTTTATACTTGATTGTTTACGAAGTCTCAAGATCTCATCATAACTAGATTTCTCAATTTCTCTTTAAGTTGTATTTGCTTTTTCTGTTGCCTTTATTATTAGATGCATACTAATTTAGAATTTTTGGCTCTTCCTTGGTGAATTAAACCTTTTAGAATTATGTAGTGACTCTTATCTCTGTGAATGCTCATTGCCTCCATCTTCGTTGTTGTTACTTACTGTAGCAGTCTTTTGGTTAGTCTTAATCTGAGTATCTTAGATCTTTCTTTGGCCTTATATTTTGAGTTTGCAGGAGACTCATGCAAAGATAAGGCCAAAGAAAATCTGCCTTTTTAACTGGATAGTTAAGTACATTTATATCTGTAGTGATACAAATACAAGTTGGATTTATTTCTAGGTCCTCATAAACGTCGTCTTTTTTTGCCCACTCCCCACTTCTTGCATTGTCTTTCTTCATTTTCTTATTCTTTTCTCCCCTCCTCCATTTGTTTCTTATTTCCAATTATTTTTTTCTTATGAGTTCTATTTGGCTTATAAATCGTGTTCTCTGGGTATTCTTTTGCTCCTTATTCGTATTTTCTGTGCTTTTCTATTCCTTTACAGACCATTAATTTTCCTGTGTTGATACCAATTTTGAGTCTTTCTGGGGGATTTTACTGTCTGTTGTATAAGCTGTGTTGTTTTTTTTTTTCTACTCTTGGTACCATTTTCCTTTGAACTTACTTTTGTTGGAAAATAGGGATTATTTGAAGTATGAGCTAAAATTGAGACCATTAAGAGAATATGTTTGCTGTGCCAGATACCCAGTGACTACCAACCTGAGAGCACTTTATATTATCAGCATGAAGGTTCTGTGATTTCAGATCGCAAACCTTGAGGGCTGGCCTGTGATTATGAATTTGAGGGTGGTGGTTATTTATCCTCCTCCACCCAGCAGCCCCAACATTGAGATAGGCAAGGTTCCCTGCTGCCCATTTCTCTGTGGTGGCCCTACCAGACTCCAGCCTAGGTGAGCCTTAGGCTCTGTGTCCAGTACCCCCTGGGACGCCTGGGTGGCTCAGTCGGTTAAGCGTCTGCCTTCAGCTCAGGTCATGATCCCAGGGTCCTGGGATCGAGTCCCACATCGGGCTCCCTGCTCAGC